TCAGGGTTGAGATTCAACAAAGTTAATCATGCTTATTTCTTCTTCAGGGATATTCTTGTGTGGAACCAGACTTTTACATTTTTAGTTGCACATAAAATGCAAAGAATGCAATATGGTTTGGTGCTGCTGCTTTGATCTATGCTGAGGCCCCAGCATTTTACCCACATTACTTTTATGCCATCACTGCAAATGTCACCATGGTGAAAAAGGAAATAGTGTCTGGTATTAGTACAGATGAAACTCATCTGACAGGATCTTGGGGATCCCTACATGTCTGAGACCTGCATATTGAGAAACACTGACTTATGTAAACATATTTCTGACTTCACTACCCTCCCATAAAGTCAAGTGACTGTGTCAAAGTAAAGAAAGAATCCCTGAAAAAGTTTATGCTCTGTCCACAGAGAACACTTTGTTCCACTTTCCCTTACCACCACTCTGATATGCAGTTAGTTAGTGACAAGAAAAAAGACCATCAAAAGTATTCTCTTTTACTTCTCTTGAGCAGGCCTTCCCAGCATTTTTTCTATCATGGCAAGCAGAGAAAATGATATTTTTATTAAGGAAAGGAGGCATAGGCTGCCTGAAGTTGGAGGTCCCTAGCCTGGTGGAAGAGGCCCCACACCCTGCAATAGGTGGAAGGGTAGGTATATGTGCCCCTGGCTGGGCATGCCATAGCACACGAACTGGAAAGTTCCCAAGTGAGGCTTGCAGCATGGAGGAGGCCCTCAGACTGGAGGCTAGTATACACTAATATATAATAATATTTGTATGTGTGCAATAAGTATATTATATACTTATATAATATAATATATAAGTACTTATATAATATATTATATACTTATATAATATATGTAAGTATGGCTGACTGGCCTAGCCAATCCTTCTGTTCCCAGAGGAAAGCCCCCAGGGGGTGTGGTAGGATGAGGGGTGCCCGGGAGAGTAACAGGCTAGCTTCCTGCCTTTACTCCCCAGCACCAAGGGCGGGAGTGGGGATGTCTCCAGTCCTGCAAGCTGTCCTGCGCTCTGCTTTCCAGGGAGACGAGTGACATAGCCTGGAGCCTGTACTGAATATGCAGTTTCTCCCACAAGTGATCCATACCCTTCTCTCTCCTCTCAGTAATGTACCTGGACCCCCTCCCTCTGGCTTCAGGCCAGCTCAGTCAATGGGAGCCCCTGGCAGGAGTTCAGAGGGCAAGTCACAGGTTGGCAGGAACTGTGCTCCTGAACTTTAGTTCTCCGCCCCACAGCTCAGGGACATTAGCAGCTCTCCGCTATAGTGCCTCAGATATCACTGTCCACGTTGGTCCCCTAACCCTGCTCACCCCCCTACATATCGCCCCTGTACTACACTCTCTTCAGTCATCCCCTCTGAGGGCTCCATCTGTCCCTTAGAGGGAACTTTGACTGGTCAAAGTCAGAAAAGCCAGGGTCCACATCCCAGCTCTGCCACTCACCAGATGTGTGACCTGAGACACACTCATGAACCTTGCTGGGCCTCAGTTTACCATCTAGAAAATGCATATAAATCGTGTCAGTGCTAACTTCACATGCTATTGTGAGGATTAAAGAATTCCTGAAAACCCACACAAAGGGCTCTCACAGTGCCAGAACTGCGGCTGCACTGAGGAATGGAACCCGTTAACTCTTACCTGGGTGCTGAACTCTTCAGGCTGTGTAAAGGGGAAAGTCAGGGATGAGGGGCAGGGGACTAGGGACTTTCTCAGTGGGGAAGTCTTGAAGGGGCATTTTGCACAAGTAACTCAGTTATTAGCACAGAACTGAACAACGCCAAAGAATGTGCAGTCCACAGGGCTCCACCTGGCTGCCTGACCTCAAAACAAAGAACAGATGGAGAGTGGGGTGGGGGAAACCAATAGATATTGACCACCCCAATGTTTGGAGAGGGCCTACTGCAGTAAAAAAAAAAAAAAAAAAAAAAAACCAGAAGTAGTCAAAACCCTGGCGCTATGTTTTAATGAGACAATGAATATAATACATAAGTACATTTTTACCACGTGATGATGAGTAATAGGGGGAGAAAAAGCAGAAGAGAGGTGGTAGAAGCTGTTTGAAAGGAGAGATCAGAAAAGACTCGCTGAGAAGATGACATTGGAGCAGAAAGGAAATAAGGAAGGAGAGCTGTTCACTAATCCAGGAGAAGAACGTGGCAGCAGAGGAACTGCAGTGCAAAGATCTTGGGGTGGAAGGGCGCCTGGGTAGAGAAGAGCAGGGGACCTGGGCTGCCTGGAACAGTGTCAGGGGGGTCAGGTGGGTCGGAAAGCGCGAGACGGGGCCCGGTACTGACAGTCTCTGTGAGAACCTTTTTGTGTGACATGGAAGTCATTGCTGTGTTTTGAGTTGAGGTGTGACAAGAAGTGACTCTGCTCCATCCAATACTTCATATATTCCTCAAGAGCTAAAATGGCACTCTAAATGTTTATTTGAAGACACAAAGGTACAAGGGTTAAGTGACTTGCCCAAGGGAACAAAAATAATATATAAGGAAAGTTGGGATTCAAAGCTAAATCTGTCTGACTCTGAGCTTCTTTCTACTGCTTCCGAGGCCTGGTCCCCACTCCAACTTCCCCCTCACTGTAAGTAGGACTTCACCCATCCTGCTCCCCTCAACTCCTACCCTCTGTTATCATTAACCAGGATGCCCCAGGGCTTAACGTTATTATCAGCTGGGAAGCTTGGACCCAAGGACTAGAGAAAGATGGACAGGCTTCCAGCCCAGAGGTTGCTTACCTGCCACGTCTTTGTCTGCAAATTCTTCTGGGACAGAAGGGGTAGGCACTGCCAGCCCGTGGTTCTCCTGGGCATTCTGAAAGGGAGAGAGATATCAGGGAACAGGGAAAGATGAACACCTAATTCTTGAATTGCTGTTCTGTGAGGCCATTTTGCTGCCGAAAGATCTGCAGTGAATATGATGCTTGCAGTGCCTGGGGAGTGGGGGGGGGGGCGAGGGGGACCAACGTGTATAAGGGTGGGTTTTATGGAGCAGCCGGAGTCTTGTTATTTGCAGTAGTTACGGTCTGTAAATTTGCTGCGACACTGAATGAGCAAATAACCAGTGCCCCAGGGAATTTCAGGATGAGGTGCCTGTGGACCTTGGTCACAGCATTTGCCTCAACCAATCGATATGTAACTTTGTCTCCTGTGTGTTTTGCTTAGATTTCATATGTACCGTTGACTGTTAACATTGAGCTTCCCCCAGCAGCTATCACTCACACCCCAACGAGGCTGATCTAACGTGTATTTTCTCCAGAAGGCACATCACAGCCTTCCTGAGCAGATCGTTAAATAGCACTTCAGCTATACACTTGGGGCCCGTTTTCAACAGTGAAATCATCAACAAAAGCAAAGAGATGTGGAACACGTGGCACAGGAAGGACTCAGTTGCCAGACACGAGCCGAAGCAAGAAGGTAAGGACCCCTCGCCGGCAGCCAGAACAGTGCGTCAGCAGCCTGCTTCTCCAGCACTCCGCCCAGTACCAATTTGGGTGTTCTAAATGCTAGTGAGAAGGCAAATCGACCAATACAGAGTCTAAAAATAAGGAGACTCAGCTGTCTCTGAGTTAAATCTCCGTTAAAAAGTATGCATGGGGGCCCTCCCTGGTGGCGCAGCGGGTTAAAGCACAGCACTGAGAAGCTAAAGCCACTTCCGCATGAGTTCAATTCCCGCCTGCCCCGGAGGTGACCACATGGCGCGGCAGACCTCTACTGACCCGCCCGCTGCTCCCCTCAGCAGTGTGTACTTCACCAGTCTGTCTGCTCTGCTCCCTGCTCTGCTCTCACCTTCTGCACCTCTGGCCTGTACCCCAGTTCTGTATGCATAAATAAATAAATCTTTAAAAAAAAAAAAAAAGTATGCATGGGCCCTCCCTGGTGGCACAGCAGGTTAAGGTGCAGCACAGCAAGCTGGTTGCAGTGCTTTGGTGCAAGTTCGATCCCTGCCATGGAGGTGACCCACATGGCGCGGCAGACCTCTCCTGACCGGCCCGCTGCTTCCCTCAGCAGTGTACTTCGTCAGTTGACCTGTCCTGCTCCCCACTCTGTCTCTGGTGAAGTCTCTTACCACCCCTGCATCTCTGGCCTGTACCCCAGTTTGAACAAAATCCATCCCAACTCCCCACGGATGTCTACAAGTGAAAAACCAAACCCTTTGGCCTGGCCCACTGCACACTCAGTTTTCTTTAGGCATCTGCCGAAACATAAATAAAAAGTAGTGGACTTACAGCACCGCAGACACTTTTGTGATCACTGGGCTTAACAGACCATAACGTGTGTGCACAGCTGTGACTTTTGCATACTCTTTTGCATTCTTTAGTCTTTTAAGAAATGTATTTTCACATATTAACAAAGCCCACACACCTGTCCTCTCCAGGAGCATTTTATGGTCCCTTCCCAGGTCCTCGATCAGCTGGCCTCGGACTTCCCTGCCAGTTTTTCCCACCGAGCTGTTAAACCCGTCTCACATTCTAGCTTCCCGCCCACACTTAGCATGCACGTTCACCCCACCACTGGGTATTGCTCAGGTTCCTGGCCACTTCTCACTGTCCCATCCTAACAATAGTACCCTTTGTTCTGTGCCCTAAACCACTATCTTGGTCATAGCTCTTTATGAAGAAGATGCTTCCCCCATTTGTTTGTAAGGACAATGAGGCTCAGACACGCCTAGTTAGTTGTCTGAAGTTCATGGCCAGTGCTACCAAACCCTGGTCTGACCTCCCACAGGTCTTTGGCTCTAAAACCTCTCACCTTCAAAGATTATCAGCGTCCTCCTGGGGGGTGGTATGGGAGAAGGGGCTAAGAGCATTGGCCTTGGGATTTGAATTCCATCTCTGCTACCTACCAGCCGCGTGTCTGGGTGACTTCCTTAAACTCTCAGAGCCTCAGTTTCCAAGTCTGTGAAATGGTGGTAAAAATAGAATCTACTTATTCTTGGGAGGCTGGGAAGATTAAATGATGCATGTAGTACAAGCACAGTAAATGTCAGCTGTTGTCATTACCGGGAGGTCACCCCTCATGTGTCCAAGCCCACATGGCCTGCCACTGCCCAGGACAACCCGCGGCCAGGCCCCACAAAGGGCCATGCTTGTTTGCTCTCTAGCTGCCTCTATTTCCTCCACTGAGGTCTGATTGCTGTTGGGAGCCCGGACTTACAAGAATGCCCCCAAACTGGCCACACAGTAAGACAAGTTGTTACTGATAGACTGGGGTTGCTAACCCTCTGGGCTTAATAGTTTCTTATACAAGACGGGATTCAAGGTAGATGTTCCTGTGCTATCCACAGACCCTGGGTCACCAAGGCCAGCTTAGAATCACACCCGTCGTTTGCGGACAATAAATAACTCATCATCTTGCTTTTTAAAGAATTCCGAAGCTGCAATGGCTGAACCATTACCTTTTATTTTTGCTGGATGAGATAGAGACCAGACCAGACCTTCAGAAGCCAGGATTGGAACCTCTGATTTACTCTTTGCATGTAAGTGGAATGAACAAAGTCTTGGGGACCTAGCATTGAGTCTTGAATTCCATTCTGAATTTTGTCAGTCACTGCTACACCAACTACACGCCAGCACTGGACCTTAACAGGGCCAGGTGCAAACCTGGGTCTCCTGGCTTACCTTTACTCCACACCCCAGGATGCATGGTCTTTACTGAAAAAACAGAGGGAAGAGTTTCTACATTGCAAGGCTATAGGAGGATTAAATGAAGTAATATTCCTAACCCAGGAAAGCACTGTTAATTGAAAGATTATCTCTTCCAATCCTCTCACTCACAAAGGTGAAAAAGTAGTGAACAATCAAAGCTCAGCTGCCTGGAATCCTAGAAGTACCCCGGTCACCCCGGTCACCCTGAGTGCTTCCATATAATTATACTTAGGAGAGGAAGACGGGCAGACTTTATGGGCCACTGGCAACTCTTCACACCGGCCCTTTGATCTTACAGCTCTGGAAATGCATCAGACACCCACCAGCACAGAATAGAAGTCTGTCTCCTGAGTGGGCCTGAACTAAAACTCAGGCTTTTCATCTCCCCTCCCCCACTACACCCAGGGAGTCCCAGGACACCCTCCTACCACTTCACCAGTGTTCGGGGCTCTGCTGGTCACCACCACAAAGCAGATCTCAAAGTTGCTCCTACCGCTCAGCGCCAGTCCTGAGCCCAAACGAACATAGTCCACGATCCGGCTGGCTGTGCCCTTCCCACATGCCCACGGGGCTCCACTTGCTTCGCTGGCCCTCCCACTGGTGTCCATTCAGGAAAGGCCAATACAGAGGCATTTTAATCTTTGCCCTAGAGAAACAGACCTGGAGGGCGAGGCACTCTCCTTGCCCCCCAGGGGACTCCAGCACCCCACATTGGCGGAAGGGGATGTCTATCAGTGTGTAGAGCACAGGTGTAGGCAGTCTGTCTCCACGGGGGGGCACCGAGTTTGCTGACCTGACCCTTAAACCCCAGATAACTGAAGAAAGCCTCATTAGGAAGAGGGTGTGTGTGTGTGCGGGGAGGGCTCAAAACACCCCACAAAATCCTGAACTGAGTTCAGAAAGGGGAGTGGAGTGTCAGGAAAGACACTGGTGGGATAGATGGCAATAACTGAGTGCAGATGATGTTTTAGAGACTAGTATAACATCAATCGCCAGTCCCTGACTTTGATAACTGCATAGAGAAGGTCTCTGTTCTCAGGCACTGCACTCTGAAGCACGCAGGCTGCAGGGACGCGGAGTCAGCTTACTCTGAGCAGTAAAGAAACAATATAAATATGTCAACCAAGAGAGGAGCAAATAAAGCCAAGGTCCAGACCGGTGAAGCCGGATGAAAGTCGGGGAGTTCTTTGTGCTGTTTGTGTGCAACACCTCTCGTGTTAGGGGGGTTAAAAAGAGGTTATTTAATGCCACTGAACTGTATATTTTTAAATAGTAAGATCTATGATATGTGTATCTTTCAATTCAAAAAAAAAGTTAAACAAACAGAAGACATGGACATCAAAAGAGAAGGAGTGGAGGAAGTCTCGGAGTCCATCCAGCAGCCGCCTGGTCAACCCAGCCCCCCCCTGGCCAACGCAGCTCCCTGGTCAACCCAGCTCCAGTCCTCTCAGCAGCTACTCGCCAGGCTGGCACCTGGTCTGCCAGTCTTCTCTGGGTGTTTTTCAACTCTTATCTCAGTTCTCACAACAACCCAATGAGATAGGTGCTGTTTTTGCTACTTCCGTTTCACAGAGGCACAGAGGTTAAGCGACTTACCCAAGATCTCAAAGCTGGTTACAGATCACTGTCCTCAGGGCACCTTGTTACTTGGGCACCAGCCCACCTTGTTACTCAGTTCTGCCCGTCTTTCCCGAGTCGGTCCCCCACCCCACCCCCCACCCCCGTCCCCAGCTTGGCCCTCGTTGGTCCTTCCTGTGTCTTACCCAGACTACTGCCCATTTTCATACACTCCTGTCCTTTGCCTCACTCCATCCTCAAGCCTGACACCAAGATGTTCTTTCTGAAACGAATCTCAGAGGAGGAAGCTTCCTTGCGTAGAGTCCTTGCATTGGTCCAGATGAAGTTCAAACACCTCCAGGTGTGTTCCAGACCTTTCAGAAGTTATCCCATCTGTAGCCCCAGAAGAGCCACCGCCTCCTACCCACACCACAAAACCCTGACTCCAACTGGTGGTGCCTGTCTTTCCCCCACTCCGCTGTAACCTGGAGCCTGACTCGCTCATGATCCTCTTGTCAGAGGGGTCCTCAGGAGGGCAGAGACCCACCTGGCCGAGGGACTCCTCGGAGGTCTGGGAGTGGGTGAGTAGCTGGGAAAGCCTAGCTGATTT